GGTAGTGTCGCGGTCCCCACGGACCCTGCGGGGTCAAACCCCGCACGGTCCCCGCCCGCCGGCGCCTCTGCAGTTCTGCTTCGTGCCACCGGAGGTCCCCAGGGCTCAGCTGATGGGACAGCAGGGGACAGAGGGCTCCGCTCCTGGGGATGTCACAACTGGGGTCCATCGGCCTTTGGGGGTCCCCGGCTCCAGGCGTGGGCAGGAGACGATGTCAGAGCAAGGGGTGTCACAGATCCAGGGGGAGTAAAATAAGCTGTAAGCAAAAGAAAAAAAAAAAAGGGGGAAACTGAAGTAGGAGTGTCTGGAAACTGGGTTGAAATCAAGGCTTGGTCCTAAAAAGAATTAATTTTGGAGAAATGAGCCATGCTGGGGAGCACAGGGGGTTTGGGGTTCATGCCTCTGGGGCCGGCTTGTCCCTGGGGGTTGGTGAATGGTGCATATGCAGCAACGGGGAGCGATGGAGGAACCTCCATCACCAGCCCCGAGGCCCCCTCGGTGTACAAGGGACACTGGGCTCCCCCACATTTAACCTCCTTCCAGTTGCTGGTGTGGAGACCCCTCCGAAGGGCTTGAACTCAAGTGGCTCTGCCCCAGCACCCTGCTACCCTGTGTCCACCCTGTGGTCCTGCCCCCCAAGACTCGCCTCTGCCTCCAACTACAGCTGCTCCCAACGCATCCCATACATCCCATAACTCCTCCCATCCATCCAAAGCTCCTTCTCTCACGGGGAGGTTTTTTCCACTAAGAGATGGCAGGTTTTAATCTCAAGTTGTCTCTTTTCTTACCTGCTGGCCCCAGCAGCTTAATGCACGGGAAAACCCCCCTCCCCGGTGTGCTGCCATCGTCGCAGCACCCAAAGGTGCAGATGTTCACACCGGTCACAGCCAGGATCCCACTGGGACCCATCATTGGGAGCGGGGGACAACACACAGAGGTGTCTCCAGCTATGGGAATCCCGCAGGGTTTGGGAAGGAAGCAGTCCTGGTCTTCATGACCCATTCCTCCCCTAAAGTGAAACTCTGCAAGACACCCCCACTCACACCATTTTGGTGACACTACAAAAAATGTCACCGCATTCAGGGCACCCCTGAATCTTAGAAACTCTCCTTAACATCATCGCAATTACTCAGATCTTTGCAAGAAGGTGGGAAGAGCACCAGGGATGGAGGAGGAAAGAAAAGCAAGGGTGCGAGGGGAGCTGCCGTGTGGGGAGGGGACGTCCCAGTGGGGATACAGGTGGTGTGACCATGGACATCTCCACGTCCCACCATCAAGCAGCTCCTGGCTGCCTGCGATTCTCCGGCCGCCGGGTTTGGAGGCAGAGCTGGGGCTGGAGCCATTCCCCAGCACGATGTGCGAGGCTTTGGTTGCCATAACAACTGGATTCAGGCTTCAAAAATAGTAACTTATTTTTCATTCAATTTGCCTTTTGCCCTCTGAGACAGATCTATTTCGGGACTGATGGTTCGCTTCAGGTGTCCCTCGGCAGCACCCCCGCCTGCGGGCTGGGGGCTTCAGGGCTGGGGGGGCTATTTTGTCGCCGTTTCCTCTCCCTCCCTTATTCAGGCCCAGAAAAAGGTAAAGCAGGGCTTGGCCATCATGAAATAGCCTCTGCCAAAGCCTCGTCTTCTAGAAGGCTGGGGAAAGAACTTGAAAAAAAATATCTTCCAAGCTAAGTGGCAGAGCGTGGGAGAGGTTTTTCGGGATGATCTCACTCTGCATCTCAGCGTGGACCTGTCGCTCTCAGCCAGGACTTAGCTGTCCCAGATATGCTGGAGGGGGATGTCCTACCAAAGATGGGGCTTGTTTTGTTCCCCCCTGCATCTCCTGGATTCCACTGTCATCAGCCTGGTCCCCGACAGCATCTTCCACCCATGAAGGGAGGCTGACCCTGCCATCAGGGAACCGGGGTGCTTCTTGTGTGTGTTGAGGACACTCCACAACGCAGCACACACCTGGAGCGTCACCCCTTTGCATCCCCTGGGGAGATGAGCTGCTTTTTGCAGCACGCACCTGGAGCATCACCCCTTTTGCATCCCCTGGGGAGATGAGCTGCTTTTGGAAGGGGTTGCAGAAAGTGCCAGGGTTAATTCATGCCTTGAATTAATGGACCCCTTAATTTTTGTCTATTTTGGCTTTTAGAAGGGGGGTGTGTGTGTGTGATTTCCCATGGAAATGGCCATATGAGCATAACCCTTCATGTCAAGATGTCCTCAACAGTTCCACCTTCCTCCCATCAACGCTATTACAGCATCAGGAAGGAGAGGTTGCACTGGGGAGACCAGGGCTCTCCTCCTCCATTTGTGTCAAGATGTCCTCAGCAGTTCCACCTTCCTCCCATCAACGTTATTACAGCATCAGGAAGGAGAGGTTGCACTGGGGAGACCAGGGCTCTCCTCCTCCATTTGCTGCTGGCCTTAAGTCACCTTTCTTGTCCCTTAGCTGCTGGCCTGAAGGTGCCCACAGTCTGTGGCACGGGGTGGGCAAAGATGATGGCCATCTGCCTGCAGACAAGCCCCCATCGCCCTTCACAGCCCCTCTTGAGCTGCCCAACCCCAGATGTACATTGGGATCTCACCTGCCAGAGCTTCCCCGGGTGATGTAGAGGATGGAGGGGTGAAGGCTTAGCATGGAGATGGGATGAGGACCCTGGGGTCTCCAGCCCTTGCCTTGCTCTCATGCTGCTTCCTCCCCCTTCTCTGGAGGAGGGAAGGGTGGTGGGATGCTGGTGGGAGTCGTGTCCCCACCCACGGACACCCCACAGTGATGGGGCTGGGGCAGAGCCGCCCACCCCTGCCTGGGCCCCTGGAAAATAATGGGGGAAAAAAAAAAAGAAAAAAAAAGAAAAAAAAGCATTAAAATCAAATAAATAACAGCAAAGCCAAACAAAGCAACTCCCTGGAGAGGCCGGGACGGGCTGGCCCTGCCCTGGGGCGGGCAGGGGACATCTGGGTGTCCCTCCTGGGGGGGACCCGGCTGTGGGCAGAGTGGCCGGGGGGTGCGGGCAGGCTGCCTGCTGTCCCCACTCCCCCTGCAGGATAAAGTGGTTGGGGTCCTTTTTCAGGGATAGACAGATGAAGAGAATAGAATAAATGTGAGAAAAAAGATCAAATCTTAAGTACCTTCATATTTTTCAGTTATTGTAAATACAGATGAATAAAAATGTCAGTTCATCCGCCTCAACTTTTCTTTGCTTTCCACTCCTGTTTCACTGAATTTCAAATAAATTCACTGACTGTCCTCAAAGCACTTCAAAATCCATTTAAGTTCTGCTTTCCACTGCTCCAGATGTACAGTTTGGATGAGGAGAACGTAGAAAGTTTAAAGCATCCTCTACCTCCTTTCCACATCCCACCCCCCCGGGACTCTCCATGGCACCGCCGCGATGTTCGTGTCCCGACTCCTGGATTTCCAGAAGACGCGCTACGCCAGGTAAAGCCGTCGGTGGTGGCGGTCCCCGACCCCCCCGGTGTTGCGGAGACCCTACCCCCCTCCCCGACCGGCTCCGGCGGGGATGGAGCCCCAAGGGACCTTCGAAAGCTCTTGAGTGCCCCAAAAACCCAGGGCAAGTGCGGGCTGGGCTTTTGGGAAGGAGGCTCCCTGCCTGCCGTCCTGCATCCCTAAAGGATGATGAGCATCCTCGGGAGTCCCCGAGGGTCCAGCTTCACCCTTCTCTTCTCGCTGCTGGGGGAGCAGGAGCTTAGGAGGTCCCCACAGGAGCAGATCCCACCTCCAGCCATGAACCCTCCACAGAGGGACTGATCCTGCCTGGGGGGTTTGCTGTGCCCAGGTGGAGCCCCCTCGGGGGGTCTCCCCCCACCTGGCCCTGTGGGCTCCACGGGCTTCCCATGGGATGCACCGGTGGGGGATCTTTTCCCCACTCCCTGAAATACCCAGAGAGGTTGCCCAGCAGCAGGAGGAACTAGTTTTAACAGCTCAGGTGGCTCAGGAAACCTTGTGGTGTTGCCTTCGGAGGGGGAAACCTGAGGACCGTTGGGGACGGGTCAGAGGGCACTTGGCCACGGACACTGCTGTGGGATCAGGTGTGGCTTCAGCAGGGAGCTGGTGGGTGACATGGGGACAGTCCATCCTGCGTGCTGGGTGGCCGAGGCTGAGTCAGATTGCACGGTGCTGGGCAACGCATGGCCAGACAGGGCTCAGAGGGGTGCAGGGAGGTGCCCAGTTTGGCACCGAAGACACGCTTTGCTCCCTGTGGTGGGGATGTTTTGGTGGCTGCGGGGGGTCCCGCAGGCTGGCACAGCTCCTGCAGGCATTCAGCTCTGCTGCTGCCACCCTCAGACTCCCAGTGGTCTTGTTAGAGTCAGATAGCAAAGAAAAAACTTGTCTGGAAAGGAGTAGTGGTGGTGTTTCTTGCCTGCTCCGGGCAGGAGCATCCCTCAAGGATGTTTGCCTGGGCTGAGAAAGGGCAGATCTCTCTCCCACCCCCCCCAAGCCATCAGCTCCTCTCCTTCTAGGGGTTCTATGGGGAAAATCCATGCTTACACCTCCAAAACCTGCCTAAAACATGTGGGCACCTGCTCAAAGACCATTTTGATGCTGTAGCTGCCTCCTGACAGCCTTTTCCCCGGGGGAGATGCAGGAGGTACCCAGCAGGTCTGCACGATGCATCTCGTCCAAAACTCCTTGTGACAACAGAGAATTCTAACCTGTTTTTCCCAGCTGGCATACGAGGGAGAGGGCCAGGGGGAGATGGAGCCTAGCAAAGCTCTGTCCCCCTCAGAGGAGCAGGAAAACTGTGCCTTTGCCTCACAGCAGTGGTACAGAGGCTCTGTGGGAGCTGGGCAGCAGAGCAGGGGCTGCCCCCCCACCTCAGTAACCCCCAGTAGAGCCCATGTGCCAGCCTGTTGCTTGATTTATCCAAAATTAGTGTGCTCAGACTTTGTCATGGTCCTTTCTGGAGACCACTTGTTAAATGGGGATGAGGTGGCACAGAGCACCTTGCAGGGATAGAGCCCACCTGTGGGGCAGAGGCTGCAGGGCAGGATAAAAGTCAGGTCTCCAGGGCATCCTCCACCTCCAGCTGGGTGCCAGGGCTGGATGGGGAGCAGGAGGAGATGGGTGGTCCCTTGGCTCTCACCCCAAGGTGATTGTCAGCACAAGATGCTAACCCAGAGCTTCCTACATCGCTGCAGAGATCCTCTTAGCCTAGTGCTTAAAAATAACAGTTGGCTAATCCCTGTCCCCCCCGCGCTCCAGCTCTCCTCTCCGCAGAAATGCTCTGCCATGGCATATCCCAAAAGGAACCCTGAAAGCTGCTCCTTTTTTTTTGTGTGTGTGTGTGTGCTGGAGATGCTCTGTCAGCTTCTCTGGGCTGCGAGTAAGGGGGACCGGTGTGAGCAGGAGTCACAGGGCTCATGGTGGCACAAGCCCTTCAAGGCATCGGAAGCATCTTGTGATGCATCCTCTCTTCAGAGGATGAAAGATGCTTTCTTGTGGCCTTCCTTGAAAAAAAAAAAAAAAAAAAAATCAGAAAGTTTTTCCTTGTGGTGGAAAAGCCTGGAACAGCTTCATTTTTAATGTCGTTTTATCTAATTTTGAGCGAGGACCAAGAAAGGAGGAACTTGGCCATCAATACAGCCGCCAAAAGGAATAAATAAAACCCAGCGTGGTGATGAAAGACCTGTTGTGCGAAAGCTGCAGCAAAGGCACTGGGCTTTGAACAAAGAGATAAAAGGCAGCAATCAATGCAGGAGCATTTTGTCAACTGCCAGGAGAAAACCTGGGGCTGGAGGGGCACCGGGGTGTCCCCGAGTCCTGGCAGGCTGGGTTTTGGAGATGGAGCATCACAGCTGGGGTGGAGGGGGCTGTGGTCATGGTGGAAATGTACGGTGATGCTGTCTGAGCAGGTTGTGGTTATAAACGAGGCTGTTGGTGGTTTGTGCTCTGCTGTGGGGTCCAGGAGGTTCTTCTGTCATCTGGCACCATGGGGACAGGGAGTCACAGCGTGCCGTTGCTGCAAGGCTTTCCCTCACAGCCTGTGCCATGGCAAAGTGATCTCCTCCTCCTCCTGCCAGGCCAAATTCAGCCACGGTGCCAGCAGTAGAAAACAGTTACGGGGTGCGAGCAGATGTGATTCCTCCTGCTTTATCCAACCACCAGATAGTTATTCCCCCATTCTCCCCCCATCTTTTCCTCTCCTCCTCCACCAAAGCGGTGCTGGTTTCCTCCCAGAGCAACAGATGGGTGCAAGTGGCATCTTCATTGAGTCTCATGGGCCAAGTCACAGTCAGCCAGTAACTGGTCCCTTCCCTCCACCTCACTGCTCTCATTGGCCCCACTTTGGTCCACTTTTCACTCAGATGTGGTCTGGTGCCTCCTGCCCACGTAGCTGCTGTGGGCCTGTGGCTCAGCCCCAGTCTCCCTACAGAGACGCAAGATGCTTCTCAGACTTTGGCCATCCAGAGCCATAATTGAAAGGAAACACAATTAGGCAGGGAGCTGCTGTATCTGGCTGGCTTCAGCAGCCCCCAAGCAGCCGGTGGAGAGGGCTTTGCTGGGAGCTGCAGGCTGCACAGGGCACTGAATCATCCTAATTAACTGATAGCAGTTCACGATTTGATTTGTTCATGTAAAAAGCTCTAAATCTTACTGCGTTTGCTTGCCTTGCCCTGTGCAGAGGAACAGCCAGGAAAATCCACATGAATTTCTCAGCCCAGAAGAAGCAGGAGGCTGGAGAGAGCAGGGGCCTCTGTAGGTGTGTGGTCCAGGCTTGTCCTCACCTGCCTGGTGTCCACAACGTAGAAGCTGTCACCTCCTCACGAGGGGATGGAGATCTGAACTTTACACTTGCTCAGAAGCAAATTCTCCAAGTTTGGGGAAAGGCACCTGGGAAGACCTTCCTTGTTGCCCCCTGCACCTGTAATTACTGAGTAAGGAGACATTCACCAATCCCTCCTCCCAGCATCTCCAGGCAAGAGAGGGAGAGGAGAACCAGCAGGAATAGGAGAGAGGAAACACTGGGGTGGCTCAGACCCCAAATGTGACAAAAGCAACGCCAGGCTGACAGCCTGAGCAGGGCTACTGCATTGGGGAGGTCTGGTCCCTGTTTGCTTCACGATGAGCAGCCCTCACCTGCTCCCACACACACCAAGATGCTTTCCAAGAGCTCTGCTTCCCCCACAGCCTGTGTGGGATGAAGCAGTGAGAAGGGAAACGCTTTCAGCATTGACATCGCAGCTCAGAGCTACTCAAGATGCAGGGGCTCCTCCCCATGCAAGCACCATCCCCATCCCACCATCCCCAGCAAGACCTGCTGGGCTGCCCTCGGCTGAGCAGATTCCCTTGCTGCTAATGGTAGTGCATCCAAGAGGTGTGGAGGCCCCCAAAATACCTCAGAAAAGCCAGGATCACCTCTTGCCATTGACCAATTCCATACTGGTTGCTCTGTGGGGCCAGGTTGATTCAGATACCTTCTTAAGATAGCACTGGTAGGACTCCTCTTATGTAGGTTAGATGCCAAGGGTGCAATTGTTATTGGTGCCAGGTATTTGGAAGGCAATAAGTACTCAGAGCATTGTTTGCAGTGGGGTATTTCCTCAAACTGCCCCTTTCCTTCCTTTGGGAGAGTCAGGGGACTCAGCAGGATGGACTCAAGTAGGGAACACCATACTGGAGATGTGCAGCAGTGGGCAAACCAAACCCTACGACCTTGTGCTTTTGGGGGAAGAATGGTCTCTTGGCTGCCTGGGAAACGGATGCCTGATGGTCTTTTCCCTCCTTCAGCCGGTGTTGGATATCAGCCTGATGTGATTCTTTGGCACAGCTCACCATGGCCAGCTTCACGAGGTGGCGGCCAACACGATGCATGAGAAATTCAAGCCACTGCCCAGCGTGGCAGGTCAGCGAGTGTGAGAAATGGGGCTCTGCCAAGATTGCTCCCGGGCTTGCCTTCCCCTCCTCCTCCTCCTCCTCCCTTCCCACACCCCCAGCTCCACAGCGAGACAAAGCCATGTGAACCCACTGCCACTCCTACGGAAAGGAAGGGAAAAGAGCACAACTGTTATTTCAGTTCATCGCTCTTGGAGGGAGCTTGGCTACAGCTGCAAAAAGAGGTTGGTTGGGTACCCAGAAAGAGATGCTGCAAGGGGCTGGACAGGCAGAGCAGGGGCTGAGCAAGGAGATACAACTGAACACATACACACTCTCCTTTTGGGGTTCTCCAGGTGAAATTGAACCTCAGCATTTCCATGCAGTGAAAAAATCCAGAGTCCAATGGGCTCGGTGTGGTACGCTACAACTTCTCCATGATAACATGGTACCACAAACAGCATGTTCCTGGTGTTTGCTTCAGATGCCCATGAGCTGGGCTGAGCAGCACTGACCTTCAGGAGAGTTTGGATCCGAGTCTGCCATCCTGGTCAAGTTCATAGTCCAGGCTGGCTGCTGCTGAGGAAAGGGTTTTGTGCAGAGAG